GGAGGAGAGCACAGGGCTGGTGCATCCCGCTCTACTCACCTTGGATTTGCAGAAGGGAGCTCAGGCAGGTGGCGGCCAACTGGCGGGATGTGGGCATGGGGTCACATGTCAGCGGAGCCAGCAATCCCACCAAGGAGCCAAAGGACTCACAGGCATCTCCTCTCTGCAGGGATGAGGGGCAGGAACAAAGCTGTAGGCAGCCCCAGCTCTCCCTAGCTTCTCCTGCCCGTGCCTTCCCCATGCCAGCATGCACAGCTGGGCGGAGCTCGCCTTCCAGCTCAGGGGCACTGGGGAGGGAGCAGGGAGCATGCAGTGGGGCTCTTTACTCACCGGAAGCCCTTCACAAGCAGCCAGCAGCTGGGAGCAGGTCTGCAGGGCCCTGTTACGCTCCCACATGTTGTTTGAGGTCAGTGATCTCTGCAGGACCTGAAGCAGAGCATGTCTCACCATGGACATTTTTCCCTTCCTGCCATCCCTCTCCCTGTCCCTCTTTTCCCAACAGTTTCCCTCAGGTCCTGCCCTGTGGCTCCACGTGGACCCCCGCCTCACTGTGCGCTGACACTGCTGCTCCCATTTTCTGCAGATACTGCTGCCTCCTAACCCAGGAGCTTTTCCTCGGCTGGGCCCTGCCAGGGGCTGGCTCCTGCCTTTCTCCTGCAGAGCCCATTTCTCTGCCCATTTCTCAGCTCGCAGTGAGCTGGCCTGTTAGCAGGAGATTTCTCCCCCTTCGATCATACTCTCTGTCCCCAGATCTCTGTCCCTGCTATCAACGGGCACCACGCTTCCTCCCTTGCCCCACACGTACTCACCTGGACTATGTTCTGGAAGAATCCCCGGGTGGTCTCTGTCTCAAGCAGGACCACCATGAGCCGGCCCAGAGCTTTCAACGATGTCTGCAGAAGCTGAAAGCAGGAGAGGGGATTGAGGTGTGGCATCACGGCTGCTGCTGGAGCATAGGCCATGTGTGCTGAGGTAGGGCTCTGACGCAGAGGTGGCCGGGAAAGTTACGGCAGGTTACCTGCAGGTACTGTGCTGCTTGCTGTGACTTCTTGATCTTCAGCATCATCTCTGCTGAAGGGTGTGACACAATGTTCTTGCAGCACAGAGCCAACATTTCACGTGCATCCTTGCTTCCTAAAGAGGGCTTCAGCTTGCTGACAAGAGGAAAAAAAGGAAGAGAAAGCAGAAAGGGCCTTTACCACTGCTCTCCAGACTGTTGCAGACAATGTCTGAGATTCTCCCAATCAACAGCTGCAAAGCCAACACCCCCAGCCCGTGCTACTGAGCACTGTCTTCAGTTCCAGCAGCGCCCGCCTCCTCCCTGGCAGCAGTGAACCACCTCCCGCTCTGAAGGGAAGAAGGCCCCAGGTCTCCCTTCTCTTCCTCGCCTGGGGACAGCAGTACCAGGCCTTTCTCCCTGCCCAGAATCTCAGCTTCACTGGCCACAACAGCCCAGCCGTCTCTCCTGTAGATGCAGCTCCTTACACCCTCCCCCCTCCAGGCCTTCAGAAGCTACCCTAAAGGGGGACCACCATCTGCCTTGCAAGCCTAGAGGCTCCCACCCTTACCTCAACTGCTCCAGGGCCAGAATCACCTTGAGGGGCA